TCTCCTGCAGCACGTTGGCTGCGATGGTCAGATTGCTTCAGACAAGCAGGAGGACCGATGTGGAGTGTGTGGAGGAGATAACTCCAGCTGTAAGATCGTCAAAGGAAACTTCACCCGCAGCACCAAGAAACAAGGTGAACCGAGTTCTGGTTTTAAGCCTCCACTTTAAATTCACTCAAAGCTGCAGCTCCGCCTTCTGTCAGTACAGTGACGTCACAGCAGCCACGCTATTGGTCACATGACGTCATTAAAAATGCTCCAAAGGGCTCCAACAGCCCAGAGGCTGGTCCTAGCAGCTGCAGCCATCTGTGTCACCATCCACCTGTCAGTCAAAGAGGCCACGCCCACAATAATGCAGACTTTGAGCCTTAAAATAATTTAAACAGGTGAGCTACAAACAGGTTTAAATATCCGTGTGGAACAGAACAGTCCGTGTATCCGGCTGTAAACATGTTTATTTTAACATGGAGTCTATGAGGACTGGCTCACTGCTGCCTCTGCTGGACACCAGAGGAACTGCAGGTAGGTTGGAAGTTTATCTGGACCAGGCTGGTGGTTCAGATGTTTGTTCACACCCTCCTGATGTTTCCTGCTGCATGAATCCTGATCCTGATTGGACGGTTCATTATTGGATGATTATTGTTTCCAGGTTACCTGAAGATCCTGGAGATCCCCAAAGGAGCTCGACACCTGCTGATCCAGGAGTTCAAGGGGACTCCTCACATCCTGGGTAAGAATCCAGAACGCATACGCATTTCCTATTTTTCTCTGGTCTTCCTGAAACACCCTGTCTTTCTGTTTCCTGCTACAGCCATGAAGAACCAGGACACGGGTCATCTCTTCCTCAATGACGAACACGAGCTCCCAGAATCCAGAGCGGTGATTGAAAAGGGCGTGGCCTGGGAGTACAGGAACACTGAAGAGGAAGAGGAGGAGTCTATCCAAACCACCGGGCCGCTGAAGTATGGAGTCATGCTCATGGTAAGTCCGTCGGTGTGTGAAGCCCAGAGTGTGTCTAACACAAACCAGAACTACCAACACTGTCTCCTGCCCGTCAGGTCCGTTCTCATGGCGACTCAAAGGTGACGGTGTCCTATAAGTACATCATCCAGGATCGCCTGCGGTCCTCGCTGGAGTCCAACTTGGTGCAGGAGGACGCCATCTTCTACGAGTGGGCCCTGAAGAAGTGGTCGCACTGCTCCAAACCCTGTGGAGGAGGTACCTGAGAATCTCCAAACATTAGAACTGCAACTCCTCGATACTCCATCATCCATCTTCTACACCTTTGCACATGCGCGGTACGGATCAGGACTCCCTGATCCGTACCGCGCGTGTGCAAAGTCGGACCTCCGTTTGCGAGGTGCGTCTGCAGGATGGAGAGGGCGGGGCGGCGGGGAAGTCTCTGGCTGGAGCAGCGTCTAATAACCAACTCGCAAAATAAAACAAAATAAAAACAAAACAACAAACACGAAAACACCAGACATCATGATACAGACTTAATAATAATAATAATTTGCTCGGTGCTGAAGTCAAAGTAAACTTTATTGTCATCTCCGCTACAGACAGTCCAGAGAGACGAGACGACGAGGCTCCAGTTACAGCAGTGCAAGTAAACAAACAATAAATATAAGAAGAGTAAGAAAATAAATATACACTTTAGGACTCGGGGTAAAGGATCAATAACAATTTAACATTTACAGTTTGATGATTTAAAGTCTCACACAAGCCGTCGAAAGGGGAGGGGCTTCCAAATAGAGCACATTTCATTCATAATGATGTAAAGCCAAGCCCATCATGTATTCATGATTTGAATCCTGGTTGTGTGAAATCCCAGAAATAAATCTTAGACAAAGTGAATCTGTGAACTAAGGTGTAGGTGTGTTAGGTCATGTTGTGGTGATCCTCGAGTTGAGATGGGTGTTCATACTGGAGTGCAAAATTAAAACCAAGATGGACAAGAAAAGTTCAAAGCCATCAGGTGCTCAGTTTAGAAAAAAGAGAAAAGAAGAGGAGGAGAAACGAGCAACAGATGCAGGTAA